TTGTACTGATTGTGGTAAACCTACTCGGTCTAAAAGCGGTAGATGTCCTGACCATATTAGAAGCTATTATGTTGGTAGACATTATCAAAAGTATTATAAAAGGAAAATAGATACTTAATTTTTGGTACTTTAATTTATATATGGATGAATAGTATATGATGATGAGATTAATTTTTTGTCGTCATCTAATTTGATTATAAAATATAAAAATAATTTTTGGTACCCGGATTTTTATATAGGTACTAAAGAGTTTTTATAGAATATTGACTTCTTGAGCGATCTAAAAAGCAAAATCAATACTTTTGTACCCAGGGTACCAAAAAAGTGTCCCAGAACTCCCAATTTCGCCCTACTGCAGCCGCTGTTGATATAAAAATACCTTCAGTTATTATCACTTTGAAGTTCAGCAGGTTGACTTTTGATTTCATTTTCATTTTCATTTTCTATTTTGACCTTATCATTATCTGAAATAATTGCAATATCATAAACTTGAGTATTTAACACCATTCCAAGAATGTCTCTGGCTAACGCTATGGCTTGCTTATAAGCATGATGAACAATTCTCTTAATATTATTGTCTAAAGGCCAATTCCACAAAACATCCAGATTTTTTACAACACTTGAATCCAAATAATGTGAAATATAGTCTAAAAAATATTAAACTTTTTTTTAAATAAAAAAAAACTTTATAACTATATTTTATAATATGTTATAAGAATACTAACCAACGCCGGTTGTTTTTTTTCTATCTGATTTGAGAGAACCCAATGAATATGCTTTATACAAGCATGCGATCTTTGGTGTTAATTCGACTAAGTCATTAAACGAGAAATCAGAAAGAAACTGACGAGCTAAGCCAAAAAAGTGTTTACAGCCTTCTGAACCATACATCTATGGAGTAAAGGGATATTGGGGATAGAAATCTTTGTAGGCAATTGTTAAAGAATCTAAATATAGAAAGTAATAAGATAATTATAATTATAATATAATATATAATAATTTATAAAATTATATTTAAGTACATACTATAGATTCAGAAAGACTTGTCAAAATATTAAATGTCACTGTTTCTAAAAAATTCTTTTTAATGCTCATAAATTCAGGATAATTTTGTGCACAACTTTGAATATGAAATTTCCAATGATGTAGAAAAAAAAAACCTAATATAACCATTCTACACCTTTCAAGTGGTGAAATTTTACGGTTTTGAAAAGCATCAATTAATTCACCTATAATAAAAATTATGTTTTAGTTAATTTATAAACTGATAAATTAGATGTTTTAAAAATTATTTTAACTAACCAAAAACAAATAAAAAAACAAATAGCCCATGTTTTTCAGTATCAACTTGTTTGATGACTTGACTTAAAAGTGAGAAACAAAAAAGTCAATAAGCAGCTCCATCATCCTGATGGTCAATATTTTCGATATCTTTCTTATATAAAATGCTTTCTGGGTTCTTTCTTAATTCTAAAATTTGATCATATCATGCAGAATACTTTCCAAGTGATAATAAGCAGGCACCTGAGAAAAGTGCATTGTGACAATCTTTTTTTCTATGTAATGGATCAGTAATTCGAACAATGGGGCCAACATTAGGGTAAATAGGACAGCTAAAGTTAATATCTAAAAAATAAATTTAGAACTAGTGTAGTTAAATTAATTATATTAACTTTATACAAAAAAATATTTAATTTATCATAAAGCCTGTCTTTAAAAATTAATCTTTCCGGCATTTCTATTTGCATAAATTGGTTTTGAGCATTGAACTCTGCTGAGGCTCTATCGGCACCAAATCTAAGAATTTTATGTTGGAGTTGAGCTGCCATATCAAGTAATTTTTTGTGAAGCTGAAAAATACTTATTGCCGCTTCTTTTTCTTGGTTTGCAATCATTGCAATTACACACGGTGGAAATTTTGGGAGAGGAATCTATAATAATTAATAGGTATAATAATAATTGAGTTTGGTTTTTTATTAATAACTATTTTATTTATATATTTACCTACAATAAGTAAACATGTACTTGAGAAGCGATAGCATTACGAGATTTAATCATGTCTACAATTTGATGCACATCTTCATATATAAAAACCCTCGTTGATTCTGTTAAAAGCATTGAACCAACAATACAACCAAAAATAGAAGAAAATCCAAGTCTTTCCTTGATCTTAGTATTGTCCGACATTGCAATAATTGGTCCTGCATACTCGATTGTATTTACAAGTCTTTTAACTAATGCTATATTTTCAAAACATAACTCAGGATCATAAAGAGCATAAGGTGAATATGCATGATGTAATCTTAAAAAAAAAAAATATTATATTATAAGTTATAATTATTTAAAAATAAAATAAAAATATTAATATACTACCTAATATTTTGAATAGCACGTCCAGCTAAATTTTGCTTGTGGACTAAGACTTGCAAGTATAACTATAAAATTAGAGAATTGATCTGAATACTTAAGATTTTGAAGTCCTTTTTTACATTGTTCTTGATCTGCAATTTGAAATATTATATTATATAAGCCTTCAAACACTTTTTATTTTTAAAACTACCGTTTCTGCTCATTTCTGCTAGTTTTATTCAAAAAGAATTTTCATTGTTTGTATTGCTATTATTCGCTAAATATAAAAGATCACCAATATCTTAATTGTAGATATATTTAGCAATTGAATTGCTTCGAAGTTGAATTTTTGGCATAAATTTTTTTCTAGAATTTGGTATATCTTGTTTTGTTACAGCATTCTATATATAGTTTAAATTAAATTTTACTAAAGTTTATTATTATTAATTATTAAAAATCGTATACATACTTTGAAAACTTGATTATTTTGAACTTCTTTACAATAATTGCACAAGCGAGAAAAATTAATAGTATATTGCTCACATAAAACAGATCATACTACTAAACCTTCAATTTTTCACTTTGATTGCCGAATTATCTCATTATCCAATAATTGTAATTCTTTTTTGAAAAGTTGTTTATATTTTACAGCTTTGTCTAGAAAAAATTTTTTGGAAAAAGTTCTCGAGCAATAACCTCTCTTCTGGGTGCACCACTATGAGTAGTATGAGTGAATACTTGGTTAATATAAGCTTTGTAAATTAAACTATCTAATCTAGTGCAAGTATATCATTTTGTAATAGGCTAATTCTCTTTTAAAGTTGGTGAAAAAAGTTTAAAATTGAAACAACTCCATTTTGAAGCTTGCAACCACTACTATCAGTATGATTTTTAAAATAAGTTTCATCATAAGCTCGTTTAAGTTTAATTGTTTTTCCATATTTGCAAGTTGCTTGCATACCACAATCAGATATATGAACTACTATAGGATTTTTTAATAGACATTCTCTTGTATACTTTATTATTTTTGAAATTTTTAGAAACACGTACTATATGTAGATACTATTTTATTATTAATTTAACCAAATTTTAAATGTAACCTTATACAAGTTTTAATATGTTTATCCATTTTTAATAATATAACATTAATAGTTATTATCTGGTTTTAAATGTAATCTTTAGAGCAATAACCAGTTTTCTAATGTAATATTTTTGTAAAAAAGTAATGTTTTTAACCAAAATTTCAATATAACCTCTATATATATTGTTCGGGGTCCTATCTTGGTACATCTGGGGCCAAAAGTACATGTTGTGCACTTTTTTGAACATTATATTATGGCTAAAATGCCCTCCAAGTGGGTGGGTGTGTACCAAAAACAATATTGAGCCCAATTCGTGTTTTTATAACACTCGCAACTAGTTCTCTTTTTTTTGTTGATCCTTTTTATAAAGATGGCCTTCTTGTACTTTGAAAAATTCAGATTTCTTAATCAACTTCTGCTGCTGCTTTTTGTCTAATGTTGGTGGCAAATATTTTGTATCCAAATATTGAGCTAAATGTCGATAGTGGTCGGGCTCTATACAGAATATATCTTGTGAGTTTTTTTTTTTTTTATTAGCAGACAAATACAAAAACTAATGTACTAAAAGATGCTATCTACAGGAATTATACAAAAGGTATCAATTCAAAGAAGTTTAACAGGGCCAGAATACTGGTAACCTGGTCTGGATATTAATATATATATATATATATTTTTTATATTGTTTAATTTTTTTTTTCTCTAATCGACTATCATTAATTAGGGTCCCAAACTCTTTTTAGAAACTGGCAACGACATGGGTGGTTCTGGTAGCCTCAATAATACATTCCATGTCGATGCACAATCTGAAAGTTATAGGGCTATAACCGAAGTACCCAATGGGCCCTATGACCGGTCAACACTGCAGTTTGAGCCATTTTAGCATGGCATGGTCAATAAAACTACAAACAGATCTAGGCCAAAATAATGGTAGAAATATTCTACCACCTACAAAACCGCCAAACATTCAAGTTCAGTGGTGGTACTATATTTCATTTCAGGTACTATTAATGCCCAACTTACGTCGCTACAACATACTCTTTTCCCATATTATCCTTTTGGGCCAACAAGTTGCTTAATCCAGTTACAGAAGCATCGACATGCAGGATAAATATTTTGTCGAAATCAGGGTAATGGAGTATAGAAGCATCTGTTAAATATTGTTTTAGCTGTCTAAACGCACTCTCCTGTTCGTGAGTCTATTCATATTTGATATTCTTCCTCAACAAATGGTGCAGGGGCCAAGCAATTGAAGCAAAGTTAGAAATAAATTTCATATAGTACAAAGCCAACCTAATAAACCTATGAAGTTGCCTTAAGTTCACAGGGGCAGGGAAGTTCTAGACTTTTTCTATCTTACTATTATTAGGATAAACTCCCTCTTGTCCGATAATATGACCCAAAAATGGAAGTAGGGTTGAAAAAAGACACACTTGTCATAATTCAACTTTAGACTTACAGCCTTTAACTTTTCGAAGACAGTGGCAATATAGTGCAAGTGTTTATCAAAGAAGCAAAATATATTACAATATTGTTGAGATATACTATGACGAATTGCTCAATAAAATCAGCTAGCACGTAATTCATCATATGCTGGAAGGTGGCAAAGGCCAAAAGGCATGACAACAAACTTATATGTGCTAAAAGGAACTGCAAATGCAGTTTTTTTTCAGTCTTTTTCATTTATTTTTACTTGCCAATACCCAAACAATAAGTCTAAAGAGGTGAACCAAGTAGCATGGCCAAATATCTCAAGTAGGTCATCTATCTGTGGAAGCGGTATGCTTCTTTTGTGGTTACCACATTTACCTTCCGATAATCAACACACATTCGTAGTTTTTTACCCTTTTTTGAAACAACTATGACCAGGGAAGCCCACGAGCTTTTTGATTCTCAGATTAACCCCTTGTTCTTTAATTGTGCTACTTCCTTTTTAATGAAGGCACATACACTAGGAGAGGCACAGTACGGGGGCCTGTTTTACTAGAGCAGCAGTGCTGGTATTTATTTTATATATTACAACCTTTGTTTGTCCTAAGTTGTTTGTTCCGGTTGCAAAAATTTCCTTTTTTGCCAACAACAACTCAAGGGCTCTATTTTTTCTCTCTGGGCTTAAAGGAGAGTTTCTCATACTTTCCTTCAATTTTTCTTTAATGGGTATTTCCTCCGCAAGATCAAGATCTTGGGTCAGTAATTCCTCTACATTTGCTAGCCATACTGCAGGGCTACAATAATTGCTTCACAGGTTTTTAAAGAGGTCTTCATCTATAGTTCCTTTCATAAAATATTTTTCAGCTTCATCCAAAGCCTTGTCATTATATTTGAACTTGTTAAACATATCTTTACTTTCAGGTGGTTCAACAGCAAGTTCATTTGGGGTCCTCTATCTGTAGAGATTGGTATTTTACTGGTTTTTCTGTTGTATATCAAATACAACCTTTTTTCTGCAAAATGCAGCTGGGCCTGAGCTTTTACAAACCAATTCATACCCAACAACAACAAATCATTGGTGGATTCAATGATTTGGAACGTTGTAGGGATAGACATATCACGTATAGCCACTTTAAGGTTATTAATTTTTGCTAGGGCTTGCTTCCAAGTACTATTTGCCATCACCACGACCATTGGAGATAGTTCATCAATTTTCAGTTTTAATTTTTCCATTATCCTTTTCGACATCAAGCTGACAGCGGCACCTGAGTCCAATACAGCAACAATTAGGTTATTCTTTACTTGAATGTAGCAATGAGCAGCAGTAGTTTATTCATTATTTGGTGGCTAGACCATATTCATTTCTATTTTCAATAGTTGAGTTGGTTTAACCACAAGAGGTCTTCTTAATGCTTGGGCTAAAAGATGGTGCTGATTCGGGTATCATAAAAGTTGTCTGATAGTAGCGTTGGCTTGCATTTCTAAAATGTCTTGTGCAACACTATATGGCTCCAATTGGTTGACAACTGATGGGCCTCTTCGACGTCAAGGTCTTGCTAAAATGGTTTCAGGGACTGGTAGAGCTTTTGGAGTCACTGATTGGGGCATTACATTTATCGGTGATACTACCAGAGTAGTAGTTATGAGTGGGTTGGTTCTCAACCTTTCTTCCACTTGACTTTCTAATTTTTTTACATTTTGGTGAGATCATTGTGTCATATATAGCTAGTGACAGAAAACGGGAATTACATATGCTTTTCCTCTTCTAGTTGATAACCCATATCGTTGAGGTCACATAAGTTTACATTCTGGGTTTGGTGCAATATCTGCACTAGCGGGTTATTTGGATTGATTCTCACATTTTGAACCGGGACTAGAGGAGGATTTTAAGGCTGGTTTCTCAGTGTATTGTTTCTTCTGGAGGCTTTTTCCGACATACAATCATGGGAAATATGTCTGGGTTCTCTACAATTGTAACAAATTATTTGGGCAGCGTTATTATTTTGGCCACCTCAATTATTGTTATTTCGGTGTCTAGCTTCATTTGCTTCAATCCTAGCCGCCATGCCAACATAGAAACAAGCTTTTTATAGTTTGTCGACATAGCCTGCATTTGCTGGGTCAGGTGATTCAAGTCGTCTTCATAGCGGGATTTTGTTTTCTGCTCCATTTTGTTCACTATAGTATCCACTGGCTTCGATTTTTCGGGCACCAACCAGCACTTCTTCCAGGTTGCAAGAGTTAGCCACACTTAGCCACGACGCTATCTTTGGCTTCAAGCCTCCCAAAAACATCTGCACTACATATAGTTGAGGAAGATGGTTTTCTGGGTCCACCCAGCGCAACAATCTTTTAAAATTGTAAACATACGTGTCCACTCTTTCAGTATCACATTGGGTTAGAGAATTCAGATCAGCCTGCTATTGATGGTGCCTTTCTGGAGTTGCAAAGTAGTGTAGAAAATGTGGAACAAAGCTCACATCTCTATCATTTGGTTCATCCTAATGCCGAAGGTTTCTTTTTACCCCATTATACCAGTTGGTGGCAACACCACGTAAATATTCTGAAGCTATTTTTACCTTTTATTGAGGGGACCAATTGTTAGCATTCACAGCTCGTTTAAATGCCTCTACTCATTCGAGAGGGTCCTCATCTTCTTCTCCACACAAGGGTTCGACCCTTACTAGATTAGTTTCTCACAATGGAGACAGGCAGCATCAATGATATCAGCAGTAGCTTTCCTAAATACATTTGCGATTTCCTGCAATATTGTATGCAATGGTTTTGGGGCTGGTTAAGCATTTCGACCATCATTATTAATATTATATACAGGTAGATCCGCAACAGGGGTGTGACTACAATTGCTATTAGAGAATTCTGGCCTGGGTGTTCTATATTACAGAGAACAGCATCAATAATTAAATTTTTGTATTTTCTGGAAAAACATTTTTTTTTGCTCTTTGCTGGGCCATACTTAAGTTTTAGATTTTTTTTTTTGTAATTAGGTTTTGTGTTTTTTTTTTTTTTAAGTTATAAAAAAAACTTGCGACGGTTTTACAAAGTCAGAATTATTATGTCAGATCTTATAGTCACTACCACAAATGTTAGTGGTGAAACTAGATATATGCGAGTCTAGTGATCACCACTCTAAAACACAACTCAACAAAAACTACACAACAAACCAACAATAGTAAGGTGGTTAAGATTTGGCAAGGAAAAGGCTTATGGTTGATTTATTATGGGTTTATACACAAAATAAAGGACTTTTGGCACAAAAGAAACGATAGACATTTTATTAGATCAGAATCGAACTTTTTATTTTATTTTTATTCAAACCGAGCTGCCCTTTTACCAGAGTGGATTACAAGTCTATTTATACATAGTTTGGTTCATATTAAAAGAAAAAAGAAGAATGGAACTACAACACTTTATCTTATTATATTCATTTACTTTTCAGACGATCTTTAAATGAGTAGGCCTTTGCTTATGTGATTGTAAACATTCATTCCACATGGCCATGCGATTTTCCGATTTGGTTTCATTTTGCTTGTTTTACCCGTCAGTATCACTACCTCATCTAGCCTTTTTGGGAGATGCTTGGTTAGCATTTTATACCAGGTGGTCATCCCATGGTTTTCTCTCTACGCCTCATCCGAGAATTCACTAATCCATGGTTCCGAGATCTTCTAAATGCTAATCATTTCATAGATGCAATCATAGCATTTTTCTGATTCTTTTGCGACTTGCTTTGATCATTTTACACTCCTGAGGCTACTTTAGACTTAGTTTATTTAGGGGCTTTGTGGGAAAGTACATTTCTCCTGATTTATTGCCAATTCCAAGAAGTGCTTTGAGTCAGGTCCTAGTTACACTTTTGGTCCCGCGATAGTGGTTTTAGCACAGCAAAAACTGCTGGTTCAATATCAACACTATGTAGATTAAATATACCTATATAGTAGCCTTATATGATTGAATATATATACAGTAGGTCTATAGTCCTATGTGATCGAACATATACGAAATTATAGATCGGGGGTTATGGGTTTGGAGTAGTAATTATACCTAATTAGAATTAGGTATAATCTCAAGTAGTATTTACTATATTTCGCAAAATACCTCTAACTTGTTATAATGTTAAATACTTTTTATATAGAATCCAGAACATGTAATTGGGTTTTGGTTTTATGTCTAAACTATGTAGAAATCCAAATTCTCAAACCAAAATTATATAAAAATGTCATAATTTAAATAACAGGCTTTAATAAAATCGCCAGTTATACTATGCTAATCTAATAAATTTAATTAGTATTTAATTGTTAAAATTGGGATATATATTTGTCTAAATTGTGTAGAAATCCCAATTCACAAGCCAAATTATATAGTAATGTCATAATTCAAATAACAGATTTGGTAGAATCACTAGTTTGGAGATCAACCATTAGTTATAAACTAGAGTTTGGAGCCAGTTTTAGCTAAACCTGATTAAATCCAGTTTTAATATACGTATGAAAAATAAAACCTATTCCAAACTCTATTACAAACTATTAGATCAGGTTATTAAAAGTTACTGTCGCACTCTCCTAAGTGCATACTCTGGGGTAGAGATGGGTTTAGTTAGCTAGTAGTGGCTAGCTGATTGGCTATAGCCGTAGTCAATATAGTTGGCTATAGCAGCTTAGCTGACTAGCTAGCTGATCTCAAAT